TACATACAATAGGTTACATAGAGCACTATAGTACAAGGAAGGGTGGGGTCAGACAATAGCAAGGGCTGATGGGAGATTGAGGAGGGACAAAGCAGCCTGTTTAAACTGGTCTGGCCGTGTCCCTGGGACAAAGCCCTGCTGGGGAAACAGTAGGACATGAAAAGGGGGGAGGGGAGGACGCACAGACAAGCAATACATTCTACATACTCCTCCTCTGTGTCTCAGAGATAATCATCTCCAGGTAGGTGAGTCTACCTAAGTGTGCCACGATGTCACGTGGAGCAGTCGGACCGCATGGCAAGAGGAGGTCTGCACGGAGGTAGGTAATGCCACAAGTCTGTCTCTAGTTTTCCAAAGATTTAGTCACATAATTTAGCAGCTGAAAGCTGGGATTTAGTGTACAGACTTTAACATTGGCTCGTGGCAAGGTCTTTATTATTTATATAGCAGCAATGGGCAAACAGCATCCTGGGTAGGATTTTCTCCACTTATCTCCATCATGTCTCTGTTGATATGGCAGACTATGAAGATTTCTTGGTTTCATTCCTTCTCTTTAAGAATAAGACCATAAGAAGTTGAGAAAGCAATGCCAGCAGATTCTCCACACTTCATGCTCACCCACCCGCCCCAGCTGTCGATTCCAGCCAACTTCTCTTTTCAAAAAAAATTATTGGAGCATGAACTGTGGAGGGTTATGTTGCATTCACAGATAAAATTTACCTACCCCCTCCGTTCAGTATCTGTTTTTTCCACAAATTGACTAAGAACACGTGTATCAAGTCTGAGTTCCATCTTAACATGTTACATACACACAAGGGAATGGAGGAACAAGTTCTTCAGAGAGAAACCTATTGGGACCATGACCTTTATTCTCCTAAAACCTGGACTGTAATAAGGTGGACATGTTAATGGCAAGTCTTACTCTGCGTAAATCATAATTTGACTGATTTACCAGTTTACCAGAGACTCTTTAGTCAGCTTGGGTTTCAGTGTGTTATACAGTATAGAGACCAGTTACTCCAAATAATGGGGATCCAGCCAATATGCTAAGGCAGCCATTCCCAAACCAGAGGAACAGAAAAACATTCTGAACTGGGCTTTGATAGCGAGATCATTCTGAACTGGGCTTTGATAGCGAGATCTGACAGCAAAGAGTTGATATCAAGTGGGGAACTCCATATCCTCCTAGGAACCGAGGAAACAAATTGTCTTCCGATTTCTTTTTTTTTTTGTGATGAAAAGGAAGAGGAAGTTCTCAGCATCCCACCCTATCACTTGACATATCACTGGAAAGCCCAGGATGTCCTCTTTACAATACAGCAGGGATTGATAGAGTAGCTCAAAAGAATAAAAGGAGATGCATGTGAACAAAATGTCCAGTACAGAGGATACAAGTTAATGGGCTGGGTCTCAGTAGGCTATAAAGAAATTGTTGCTCCAATGTCTGGTTTCTTGGTTTTCACTGAGGAGAACAGATAACTTGTAAAAAAAATTTATATAATTTTTATATTAGCATGGATGCAGAAATCAACCAATTTAAAGAGTTCTGTGCTTTGATTTATGCTGTTTTCATACAATGTAGAGAAAAGTAATTATTTAATTTTCCTATTAGACCAACAATGTATTTCCCTTATTATTGAGCTGTGTGTCAGAAGGAAATGTTTGTCTTTAATTCATCACATTCTAAATGTCTCCACTTTCTACCGAGCTGCGAAAATGGATTGGCTGTTTACTTCTTTCCTTAGAGGAAGCTATTGGTATTATGGCAAAATGTCAGTAATAATCAAGAAATATAACAGAGTGTTTTCAAACAGGTAAAAATGACTCCTCCCAGGGGATAATTTGAAAATAAAATAAAAAACAAAACTGATATCCTTGTATCATATGATATGAGCCAGAGCTGAACTGATTGTAGTTGCCTGGCATATTTTAATATGAATATATATGACTCGAGGTGCCAATTCTGTTCCTGATTCATTTCGATATACCTGTTTAATGTCAATATGTTGTATGTCTTTGCAAAGTGAATTTTGGATTGTTTGCCTAATAGACATTTTACGGCTTGTAAAGCTGAAATATCATCTGGGGTACTTTCCAAAACCGCTTTTGATATATAAAGAGAAATTTACCATTTTAAAACCAGAATTAAAGTGATAGTTTAATCTCACAAACTTTAAAATCAGACAAACTCTACTTTAATATTTGGCTGCATATAAAATAGCCGGGCGTTCACGGCAATGTCCAGTCATACTGTATGTAAGGCAGAATTATTTCTCTTTTCTATTATTATATCATTAAGCAACACTCGGACCTCTCGCTGCATTGTCCTCTTCGGCAGGCATATTGGACCACACAATCCTAGCCTGGGGTTTGGAAATTGGAAGATCTCAGTATCTCGATTCCATTGTTCCTGCCATAGTGAATGTCCAGTAACTTAAAGGGTTACTCCAAACACCATGACCACTTGTGCTTTTAGAAGGGGCCATTGTGGTAGCATCTTTAAGTGCAGTGTTTCTGATTGAAATTCTGCATATACAGAGTTATCTGTTCTTTTATGCCAGGGGCTGGTTACACCCCTTAATTTAGGCAGCCAGGAACTTTTATTCGGCTGCCTAATGTCAGTTCCGTGCACAAATTCCATCTGTCGCCAGCGCGAACTGCCTGCTGGCGACAGACATTGTTAACTTCTACCCTTGTGGACAGTTTTGTAGTGTGTCTACCATGGGAAGTTTCCCTCCTGTGCTCCCTACCATCCCTCCTAGATAGCCTCTATTTAGTAAAATCATGTATTTAAAAAAAAAAAATATATATATATATATATATATATGTATATATATAAAATGTCCCTTTATCCACTGCCTTGAGATTTGGAAAAAGCAGTTAAATGGTAATCAAGACACTCATATTTAATCTGAGTGATAAAATGTAATATTCTAAATTACAATTATAACACTTATCCATTTTTTATTATCGCTGTCTGCATTCCTTATAATGTCTGCATGAATACAGCTTGTAAATAGATATTTAAAAAAAAAACATTTTCTATCTAATTTGCAGACAGGATTTAAACATCATAGGTGAATACATTGTTGTTGGGTTTTTTTTCTTTGTATGTTTATAATGGGTTGTTTCTGTAAACAATTGGGTTCAACAAACAATTGCCTGCAGCCTCCCTTTACTTATAAGACAAAAACCCTCTCCCTACCACCTTGTGTGGCTTTCTGCACAGCTTCTAGTATTTACACATTTCAGGGAACAAAAACAATAAAAAAAACTTTTTTTTAAATAATTCTGATTTTGTGCTACCAATTACACATAGAAAACAGAATTCCTTGTTGTCTCGGTTGTTCTAGTAGAAAATGCATGTGGGGAAGCTTTAGTAATACCGGTATCAGTCAATATTAAAGCAACTCAGAAACTTCTTGGTTTGTGATTAAATTCTGCTCTAAGCAAGATCGATAAACATGTTTCGTTCGCATGTGAGGACGTGTGTGTTCAAATGAAAAATGCTTACACTGTCTATTGCCAGCAGTTTGAAACTAAATCCAACTTACAGATTAATTTTATAACATTCCAATTGTCTTCTTTCAAATCCAGTTAAAAATTTAGACATTAAAAAGAATGTTAAGCTAGTAAACGCCAGGCCTAAATTGTCGTAAAAAAAAGTACCCCCAAAAAAACACAACACGCAGTTGTTTTCTTATTACAAAAGTGCTGTTTTCATTTTGCCGTCTATTTTTCTTGGACGAAAGTATAGATGAATGTTTTAAATTATGTGTTTAACTTTCCAGCGTCTATTAAATTCATAACTTCACTTTTAAAATTGTGAGCTAACATAAAAAGGCAGCTAACACAGTCTGTGAGTTTTTTTTTCCACAAAAAATACCATAAATCTACCTTTTTGACAAGGGAATTCAAACACAAAAGACTGCCCCAAGTGGCTAATTTGTATCAAGTGTATTTGTGAATAGTTTTGCCTAATACCAGGGAATTAGAAGTGCAAACTTCACTAAAGTTTAAAATCAAAATCACATTTGTTCAGCAAAATCATTGAAGACCCATTCTGCTATAACTCAAAACGAAATATTTAGATAATTAAAAGCATAGTGATGGAAATGTATAAAAACTCTAATTAGCATTTTGGGTGCTTTGAAATATCCTTAATTAATATTCAGCAATTTGAATGAAATTGAGGCTTGACAAAGACACTGCATGTGTTGAAATGTTGTTGGGTCCACTGAATAAATCTTAATTTCTTATACTGTAGTGTTGAGGCTTTATTATTTTTCTAAATTGTAAAGGTCTCTGGAGAGCAGCCTTGGAAGCCTGCACCTATGTTAATACATGAAGAGTTCAGAATCTCCAACAAATGAACAGAATTGAAAACACAGTCCAACCCATAGCGCATGGACGTTGGGGCTTCCAGCAGCCAGTCACAGTTAATGGTTTTGGGCTGAACATTTGGCCGAACATTTTTCTTTAATTTCTTGAGGCAGTCACCTGTAACAATCCATTGGGCTTGTGTCCAGTCCTGAAACTCAGGTGCAGTAACATTCTTCCTTATAAACACGATCCACAGAGATCCTGAGGTTGAGCACAAGATTCTGTCTGGCCAGTGATGGCATGGGGGGTTTAATACAAATAACAGAAAATTCAAGGCAAAGGTATTCGAAGAAGAACCATGTAGAAATCATGGTCTGGCGTTCAGGGCAGGCGGCAATCAGCAAAATCCAGAGCAGGCAATGTCAGGAAACCAGCAAGGACAGGAACACAGGGAAACAAATGCTAGGAGTTCTGAGGCAGGCAACAAAACAACCCAGCACTGACTGAAAGGTGTGCTATGCTTATAAAGGAGTGGCTCAATAACATAACCTGGTCTCACCTTTAGGAGGGGTTACCTGAGGTCAATGTGACTGACTGTGGGACTCAGCCCCATCTTGGATGCATCATTATCCTGGCTCCACCCCTTAGCCACACCTCCTTCAACTTCTGACCTGCAGACCAGTCTCCTTATGCAGCGGCTACCACCTTGGAATACCGGAACAATCACTGCGAGTTCCCTGGTTGTGAATCGAAGTTCAGAGGATGCACACTGGGGTGCAGCAGCTACAGGTACTATGAGAGCTGTGGACTGACCTTCTGTGCCACGGGACAGGTGAGTACCGTTGGCAAATGTGACATCACCAGAGGAACCACTGAAAGTTAAATGTTTCTCCTGATTTCTTCTGTTTCCATAGTTATTGCTCTACATTTAGAGGACATTTCAATTATCTATTAGCATCACTATAGAGCTCCGCAAAGTGATCATATAGTTCTGGTATTTAAATGAAAATCAGTATAAAAAAAACCTGTAGGGGGCGGGGCCGGACCACCAAGCTGGATGGTCGCAAGCAAGATCAGCTCCTGCAAGATTTCTATGATTAAAGCATTAAAACATGACCTACAGCCTAAAAACAGACCAACAGCGACGGACCTTAGCGCATGGGGCACACTGGATCCTGGGAGAGGCTGGCTCATTGAGTTTCAGTCCCCTAGAGGAGAAACCATCGATGTCTCATTCGGGACCTTCTCCGGTGGTGAGTGGGGCGGACGGCTGCTGCCCCGCTATCCTGCCAAACAGCACCCAGCCAGAGGCCCAGCTCCGAGTGGACCAGGCCCAGTTCCCCCCCAATGGACCAGTGGGGGTCATCCCAGTCCTCACCCGATGGCCCTGACCACAGCACCACAACCAAGGCACGGTGACAACATTACCGTGGTCAGCAACTAAGATGGTGGTCGCCATGTGCGCAAGAGGTAGTGGGACTACCTGCTCTCTCCCCATGCCAACAGTAACCAGCACAGATCCCAGGCTCAAACTCGATGGACCCACAGCCTTCCAACCTCACCAGGCGGATGAGCGGAGTGGTCCTCACCTGTCCCTGCAGCTGACCAAACCAGCGGTGAGCTGTGAAGGTGATCCATCCACACTACCGACAAATGCCACACCGAGGGGACGGAACACAGCACGGAGACCATTCCCACCAGAAACAACCGCTCTGGCCGACAAGCGAGGTACTCCTGTACCGAAGCCGACCCCACACTCACCTCACACCTGGCTAATATCACTGAGACCAAGACAAACCCAGCGTGGAGAAAAGCGGCAAGTTTTCCCAGACACCATCCTGCACCATGCCTCGGAGGACACTAGCCTTCTGAAACATAAACGGGGCAGACCCAACTTACCTCGATGGCAACTCAAAGCTAACCTGCACGGAATCCAACGGAAAGTAAAGAAGATGTATTCACAGATTTCTGACCCAACGGACACTAACCTCCTGCTACACCAGTACAGCAGAGCGGGCATCGGTTAACCAAAAGACTGCTCCCTTACGTGCGACCCCAAGACCGCCATGGTGCCGGCCCCTACCTGCCGTGGCGAAGCCTCGATCAAACAGGGTGATATCCTCATAGAAGCAACATTCCTAACTCCAACATGTACCTTATCATACAATGTACTCTTATGCTAAGCCACAATAGCCATTACTTTAATCAAAAACGTACATATTTATCCTTAAAACCTACTAGTATTGTCATTAATGTGTATAGAATAGAAGTGTTATCATAGACATATCCATGCCAACTAGTCATACAAGCTATAGCACTAAATGTATACCTCGTTAATTAATTAGCTTAAAGTATGATCTAAGTGACTAAGCCTGCTAATATTATAAAATTGTGCCTGTTATTTGTATGTCCCGCATGTAAAGAGAGGAAATAGCCTGAGGACTGCTTTTGGGGCACTTCAAGCCTGCCTGTACCATTTTCATGGACTGCAAAAATAAAAAATAAATACATTTTAAAAAAATTAAAAAACACTCGGAGAGAAACGTAATATTTCATATTTACAAAAATATTCTGTCCTAACACACTAATTACAGATACTATTGCAATGTTTTGCCTTTTATAAGCATATTTCAGAAAATATTTGGTTAAGACGAGGACAGATGTCTCCCAACTTTTTTTGGCAGGTCAGAGATAAACAATGCTCTCTTCTTTCAGCTACTTATAAGACATGAAGGGAGCTTAATGGAGGTCTGTGTCCCAGGATGTAGGTATGTCTGAAACCTTTATATAACGGAGTAATGGTATGGTCCACTCGGCCTTGTGATGGTTATATATAGTTTGTTGTGATGGATAAAAGTTGGAAAATGAGCGTTAGGTTTAATGGGTTACATTGGGTTACAAGTGCTGAATATACGCCAGCAAAGAATCCAGACAGATTCCAACAGCATTTCTTACAATTTCATTGTTAAAGTAACACCCACCCATTACAACAATCCCTGCAATAATGAGAAAACTATATAATAAATATTGTGGTGACGTTAAAGTAACTCTTATTCCTCTGAAAACAGTAGTGAATCATTCCACGTTAAACATTTAATTGCAAGCAGACTGTCTGTGCTATTTCTCTGGTATCATAAATTTTCCGCTGTCTGCTGTGTTGTTGCCTGGCAACCTGTAAACAAGCAGACTATAGCGCTGCTATGTACTATAACAGACAATGATTCAAACAGGTTAGGCAGCATTCCTGGAAAGCTTGTCTTAGTAAATGTGGCGTGCTCACAATCACATATAAACCTTGACTGCTGACCCAACCAGTCCCCGACCAAAACCCATTGCCCCCCAATAATACACGTGACACCTCATTCTTGTGGATAAGAGCAACGGCCACAGCTTTATTTAATATAACAATTTTAACTCAGTCCAACTCTGCCAGCTGTTGGGTGTTTCCCAACAGGCAGTTCTCTTAAATTCTGTACCATGAGCCTCGACAGCCGGCTCCTCGCCATCAGCTCCGTGCAGGCTGTCGTCTCCCCAAAGTTCCTTTTTTCTTCTGCGTTGTCTAGGGAAACCCGCCAAGCTGTGACAACACAAAGAACGAGAAACAAGACACAAGCAACAATACCAGAAACAGGGTGGGAGGGTGGGAAAACAGTCAGGGACCCTAACTGATCCTGCTGACTGGTAAGTCCCCTCCCTCTCCCTTTAGTTAAGAACCACAACTTTAGACACAAATGTATCTACCTTAACCCAGCCCACAATCTTGGGCAGCAGTCATGCTCCCCCTTCCTTATTGTTCCAGGGGGAAACTGTCTATCCATTGTGTTATATACATTTACACTATTACTTTTACCGAACTAGAACATGGCTGCCTATTAGAAGTGATGTATGATGGGAAATGTTCAGTGATAATAGTTGTCTTATAAAACTGTCCTGGTCAGTTTGAGGTTGTAGGAGGTTGTGGGTGCCTATTGAGTTTGAACAATAAGGTGGTACAGCTAAAAAATGGGTTTGACTTAAACGACTTGATCAGAATATAAATACAGACAAATCCTGAGGTTTTCTCTGTCCCAACTGTTTATCATTTTATCAGTCAATCTTAATGTAACCTCTTAGGACACAGAACCTTGAATTTCTTTACTCTAAGTATTGCAGGATTTATCTCAGCGTGGCAGGATTTGTGATAATTATATAATTTTATAAATATGTTTCCATAAAATTGGCAATTTAGCTTTCTGGATTGTGAAGAGTGTTTCCCATTTGTTTCATTTTACAAAAAGTGCAGATTTCAAAAAAAACTTTTTTATAAATTAACCTGGTTATACTCACCTGGCTGTCAATCAGATAATCAGTCCTGTTACTTCCTGGTTGTTTAGCTCAGTGGAGCTAAACTCAAGAGGCAGCAATTGCCCAGTGCACCCCCATTGGGAAGTCTGTGATTGGACAGCCAACTAAAGTCTGGGCGGGATTAGAAGGGGAGGGCCTGCAAAGGCTGCAGACAAGAGATATGCAGTTTTTATAGGCTGTTTTTAGATACACCGCAATAAAAAGATGCAAATTTAAATAACGATATATGTATTAAACAGTGATTTGAAAAAAAATATTTGGGCATGTCCTTTTAAAAGAGAGGGTTACAATGTGTAATCCCTAATTGCCGGGAGGTTTTTCTATTGTGCTTTGAGTTTGCAGCACATTGTTATCATGTATGATTGCTGATTTGGATGAGATTCTAATATCTGATGTTTATTTAAAACAATTTCTGTGCAACTTCCTCTTATTGTGCATCTTTAATTTGATTATTTAAAGTATTTTTATTGCAGTTGCAGGTCAAATTAAATATAATACATTTCATCAAATTGATAATTTTGTTTTCTAAAAAGATAACTTTTATTTAAAAAATTGCAAAATTAATATCTAATTAAAGTAATGGTAGAGATAAGAAACTCTGAGTTAATTAAATAACCTGTTAAATTGTTATTGTCTCTTTATTATCAGAAATCGATAAATCCAACTAGGAATTCTGCAACATTCATTTAGATGAGTTCAGAAAATTTATGATTTTCACATCAGAGATAATTTACAACAACAGAATTGAAGATTTATCGACGTCCGCATGGCATGCTAAAGGATCCCTGATGCAAATTATCATTCACTTGCTTTTTGCAAGGATGTAGCCAGGATTAATGATGTGGTTTATTATATGGTAGCTGGCCAGACCACATTAATTAGTTAAAATCTAAAAAAATAAAACAAAAACTTATGGGAGTCAATATTATATTACTATAATAGAGATATTTAACCTCCACAGACATAGATTTTTAGTCGCTTGCGCAGGCCCTCTTCATCGGGGATGGAGCCTACAAAATAATCTGGGGAACATAATCCTCCCGTGCCCTCACCCACTGGCTTTAGGTGGAGGCTACTTTAAGTATTAATGGTGGAGGACCTAGTTTCCCCTAGCCCCCACCCATGGGCTTAAATTAACAAATCAGGAGACCTATTGTACACTCCTTTGGTCCCTACCCATCTGCAGCAGGTGGAAGCCCTAATATTAATAATAAAAGGGGGGAGCTATTGTCCCCTCCTCTTACCTCTACCCATAAGTGGGGGTGGGTTTCCTAATTAATTATAAAATAGTGGAGTGGACATACATGCCAATGTCCATCCCACCAAATAGTTTATGCATGCACCCTTTGGGTAGCAAGGGTGATGGTCCCCAATCCCTTCGCTACCCCCCTCAAATAAAGTTTGTACCTGCTACTTCTGCAATAAAAAAATATTTATGTTCACCCATGAACGGCTTGTGCAAAATGAGTACTTTCCTAAGCTATGACA